GAGCTAGACCAAGTGTCGTAAAGCGGCAAGCGGCCGGCACCTAACCTATAACGACCGTTCTATAAGATCGTCTTTTTTCTCCGCGTAGATACTGTCTAGCAAAGCTACGTGCTTTAAAGCTCCTTGAATCTATTGAGCTACCAGGAAAGAAGGAAAAGCGATTACATAATCGTGTCTACCCCCATTTGCGCCCTACCCCCATTTGCGCCCATTTTAAATCCGATAAATCCGACATAGATAGCTACCACTACCATGGCTACCACTACCATGGCTACCACTATTACTTTATTCAAATAGCCTACTATCATAGTCTATCATAATGGCTAATGCTACGGTACTATAGTCGCCGTCTAGAGGCCTGATATAGTAGACGTTGGAATTATCGGATTTAAAATGGGCGCAAATGTAAATCCGACATAGATAGCTACCACTACCATGGCTACACTATCATAGCTACCACTATTACTTATTTAAATAGCCTACTACCATAGTCTATCATAATGGCTAATGCTACGGTACTATAGTCGCCGTCTAGAGGCCTGATATAGTAGACGTTGGAATTATCGGATTTAAAATGGGCGCAAATGGGGGTAGACACGATTACGAATTTCAAGCACAGCGGGAAAGAGGACATGTTGAACGAGAATCCGAGTAGGGCCTAAGGAACGCCTATACAAGTAAGGAAACATAGGAAATCACCGATGCTCAGCCCCAGATTGACAGCAAATCAATGCCGTGACACGCTCAGCCCAAGTCTACTGTTGAGTTCGCAAGCTTGTGTCAAGACTCGGATCGAGCGTCTTGCCTAAATCGTCCTTTGTGATCCAAGCTTTTGCGTGGTTCTGGTGCTCTGCTTTTCCCGTATGGTACCGTGGACGCGTGCCAGTCAGATGGGAATGTTGCTTTGCGGCAGTGATAGTTGATCCTTCATTTCGTGTTTGACGCCTCGTTCCATTCTTCTGTGCTCCCGTTCAAGACAATAGCGGCATAGGCTCAAACCCAGCTCCTTCTTTTCCGGTGTGGCGATATAGAATAAAGCGCAGCGGTCCATTCTGTCTGCCTGCGCGGCCAGTCACGATCGAGCAAAACTGTCGCTACGCTGACAAGGAAACCCACCTCGAAAGGCATGGATTGTACTGTATTCAGGCGCTCGCAAAGGGGCGGGTCTGGCCACACCGTTGATTTACTATGAACCCTGAGGGTGAGAAATGGGGCCTACTGAAATAAACAACCGCACAACTTCGGCAGCGGTCCCCCTTTTAGGCTGTGTCTTGCCTTTCGAGTTTCAGCGATCGTAAATTTTGCGGACCAAAAGCCGTCTTGTTTGGGTGCTAAAAGACGAGGTGTACCTACTATATTGCACTAGTCCAGAATTCTGTCTACTTCTACATCAGTCCAGAAGGCTCAGCGTCATCTATGTCTGGACACGCTGGCCTCCCAATCATTGGGCAGTTGTAAGCCATCCTTTTATCTGCCTTGTCTCCTAACTGAATCTAATACCGATCCTTTAGATCTAGATTAATACCCCATAGCACACATAGAACCCTACAGTCGCCGCAATCTACCTCTTAAGGTTTTTTTCAACGAATTGTTCCAAAACCAGCCTGGATCACTGATTTCCCATGCATAGCGTCTAAAGGAACTTTGAGGCAAGTAGACACGCATGGTTATGATCACGTCGCCTATTGTCTGCAGGTAAGGTACAACAGCGCGTTGTTGATGGCACTCTACTATGCCGTCAGAATGGACGGGTTTCCATTGGAGAAGACATGCAGTGACAGCGCTAACAGCTATACTACATTGGCAAAACCGCTATGCCAAAACCCAACACCTGCAGAGCAGGTTACATGTCACGGGGCCTTAACCAGCTTTCCTCAACCCATCCCAGCTCCATTTGCTGATTCTCGTCGAAGAAAAGATACATCCAGCGTTTCAGTCCTTCGCTGTAATACATATCTTTGATCAGGCCGAACATGCATGGGGGGCAATCGTAGGGAGGGGTGAGCTGGACACAGTCGATGAGGTCGAAGACAGGGCCGGGGCGGGGCGGAGAATACGATGCTGTTAGTGTCACAGTATCATTCTGATCTTTGTTATGTAGAGGATGTTCCTCTGGTGCATTTAGGGGCCTGCGGGGATGGCCTGTGCAGTAGGATTCGGGGAGTCTTGCAGGCGGCTTCTCTGTTTCCTTCTGCATGTGTGCCTTCATGGAGAACATGACGGAAGTCGGTAAAATGGGACGATTCAATGATAAAGGTTCTCTGGGTGTTATGTTGGTGTTTCTTCCTAATGATAGTAGCTGAGCTATGAGAGAGAAAGGAAGTTTCCTACTTATACCTCGTCCTGACTCATAGCAGTTGAAACAGACGACTTTCGGGTTTTCAGACAGTAAACCCGCCCAATTGGCGCATCTGTGACACGCAGGTGTATGATATTGGTCGCCTTGCCTTCCGGAACGATAAAGCAGGATCGGGTGTGAAAGCAGAAAAAATGTTCCCACCAAGCAAGGAAGACAATGCCGACCGTGGTGGTGCTAGCTTCGGAGCAAAGCCATGCCTCTGTTGAATGAGACGAGGTGGTAAGGTCTGCCGCAATTGTTCATTCGGAACCGTGAATGTGGTAGAGCCGCCTGGTGTTCCAGGTATGGTGCGGAGGCTCTCGGACGATTTCAGTCATGCAAATCTTCTGACACCCCCCGAGCATCGTAATATCCGTTCGCTCTCACCCAACGATCTCACCTCGTACCCGCTGAGCGCGAGAAACCCGCAGCAAATCGTCGCGGTTGCTTTCCGGGTCCTGGTTCAACTTCGCCGGTCTTTTAGAAGGCGGTCAAAGGCGCGCCACACTCTGGGATGAGAATCCGTCTTGGCAGTCATGGTGGCCATAAGTACCCTCACAACACCAGCCCTGCTTCCCCAACAAAACTGTCAGCCTGGTATCCATATTTTCCAGATCTCAAAGCATTCTCAAACGTCATGACCGAACCACTCAACATGGACACCAACCCCATCACCCGCCGATACGGCCCAGAGCCCCAAAAGCCCAAGAATAGCGGTACACTCCTTAACCAGACACGCGCCAGATTGGTAAATCCCCATGCCAGGTCTTGCGTATGACTGACAAATGAGTTCGCCGACACAGGAAAGGGCCCAATCCCTCTTTCATGTCGGGTCTTCGGTCTGGGAAATATGGGTGGGCGGCAGACAGGAGAGACGCGTTGTTAGTGACTGCACGTGGGATGAGGGCCAGGGGTATGTGGTCATGGAGGAGTCTGCGATGAAGGATCTTGGCTGGCTTGAGGAGTATTCGTTGACTTCGGATGGGCCATGAGTGGATGTCTGAGGATATTAGGGATCGGGGAGTTGTTACTGGGTATGGACGGTCGGGCCTGTGCTTTCTAGCTGGCGTTTCCGTTGTGCTTGGTCTGCTTGTTAAGGGTATGCACCATAATCCGTGGTGTACTGTTGCTATTTGTCCTTAACGTACTTAGTAGACTCAATACAACGGTCCACCCCCTAGCAATTCCAAAGGCCTCTCATCCACCGGAAGCGATGTTAATCACTCAGCGAATTATTACCAATTTCTCAGTTCTCCGGGGTATAATCGGCCCAAGCAGCCTCCATGCCGCCCTCTTCCACCCCTCACTACTATATTCTGAACCCCGTGCTGGTGACTGTCAGCCGCCAGATCCCACTCCTCGCAAAGCCCACAGCAGAAGATGAGCCAGTACGCGTTCTTCAGCCATTTCTTCGCCCTCTCCTCCCTTTCCGTCTTTTTTTTCGGCTTTGCGCCATGCTCGGTGTGCCCTTCCCGGCCTTTTATATTGCGATTTGCAGTTCTATCTCGGTCCTCGAATCTTACCACTCGCGGCGGCTGATCATCCGTAAGCACGCCCGTCATCGTCCTTTGCCCCTGTCCAGATCCTGTTGTGGGCATTCCATAGACACCGTGTACCTGCCTCTGTGGTGGCAAATGCCCACTTCGAATCGGCGTAAATTTTCCCCTCACGAGCACCCCATCTTCCCCTCTCATCACGACGCCTTTCGGTAAGCCGACCGTCTGCTTTAGCCATTCTCTTTCAGCTGCGGTAGGGCTACGGAATTTGTCGCGAAAGCGTGCTGGTGGAGGTGGCAGGCGATAGTTGGAAGCTTCGGGCTTGTTGAAGGAGGGCAGACCAGGAGGCGTGGGGCTGCGGGTTGGTGGTGGGTGAGGCGGTTGGATTGGTGTGAGCACGGGAGAGGATGGACGAGAGCGCTGTTGGAATGTGGGGTTTGGAGATGGTGGGAGGTCGGATGTGGAGAAGGACTTGCGCTTGAGGCCGGAGGCGCGCGCGCGGAGGGTGGCTGCTGAAGAGTGCGCTACTATAGATAGCGGGCGTAAAGTGGCAAGAGAGGATTGCTCAGTGATAGGATAGAGGACGTGCGGCGTATGCATGAGCTTTTCAGGGGAGGCTGTCTCCGTGCTGCGGAGGAATGAGGCGGGGACTGGAGAGCCAGATGCATCCAAAGTGATGTTAAGCCATGCTGGCGATTCATCATGGTTGGACCTCATTGTGAGATGGTTTATAATCCCCAAGCCAGCATTGTCCCAATCATTTCTCGCGCTGCTGTCTAGGTGCTCCTGGCTGGTGGCGAAGGGCGCTTCGTAGATGGAGTTGTGAGGGGATGGATAGCTTTCTGATGAGTCGAGGTATGCCCCGAGAGCCTGTGTGGCTGACTTACGACGAAGAATTGGTCCTGTTTTGGCTGTGCCTGAGGGTGGAGATGGTGTTGGGGTTCGAGCCTCATTGGTGGTGGACTCCAATGGCGCACGAGCATCTGATGCGGCACCCATGCTTGCCTGAGTGCAGGCGCTGAATATAGCGTTGATTTTCGGCACTGTAGCAATGATGATGCTTGATGAGATATCTGTCGACGCTTGTAGGATAAGGATAGCGATCGGAAGCAGAGAAAGTGAGATTCGACATTGGTACTTTTGCGGATCAGGAAGCGGCGACTGAACCGGCACCAGGTCAGTTGACATCAACCATCTCTGTATGCATAAGCGTGTAACAAATTCGTATGGTTCCATGATTTATGAGACTTCGATGAGAGGTATGAGAAAGAACCGATTTTTCTGGTACAATCTTGTCAAGTCATTTACAGGGTCACGCTATTTCGCACATTTCTGCAGATAGTACCCCAACACCCTAGTAATCACGCTGAACTTCAATGCTTATCCAATGCTATGCTATGCGTTGAGCGTACAGGTCCAATGTGCCATAAGTCCAAGATGATAGACCAATCTGTCCGAAGAGTTTGTTCGACGCACGCCGGGATCTTTATGGAGGAAGTGGCATGACAGAAGGGCAATCGCACATGGCATGTTTCCTCCCAAAATCGAAGAACTGAATTTGGTGGTAAGAATCGTTCTGGTATCTGGCTTTGTGAGAAGTTGGTCGTCCACCAGTGCATTCATCGCTGCGAGATTCCCACCTCGAAGAGCGTGTGTGCATGCATTCTTGATGCGGCAGAGTATATACTGCTCATTGAGCCGTCATACTTCGACTTAATGATGATTTTCCGGGCGCCTTCAGTGTTCGAAGCTGGGCTTCGAGTTTCCGGCGTTCGTCTTGCTCGACCTATTCAGTAGTCAGCAGTGCTCAGGGCCCATACCTGGAATGCACTTACTCTTAGAACTCTCAGGCTCTCCGCTCTTGTTTCTTTCATCATCTTCTTGAACTCATTCTTCAATATTGCAGTGCTCGTATTGCTTGAACCCTGAGACTCCCGGCTGCCAGGCTTCCCCGGAACGTTAACCCCAAGCGATTCAACCTTTCCGTCACTTATTTGGGTTTCAAGCACTTCAATGCGGTCTCGCAAATTGTCGATGGTATTCTCCAAATGCTCGCGTTCTTTTTCATACTCAATGCTGGATTTGGTCATGACCTCGTACTCGCCAATCGTTTCCGAGAGTTCTTTTTGCAAAGCTTGCACCCGCTGGTTAAGCTCAGCGTTGCCCGCCTCGCGCTGAGTCTTCAGCCCAGCAAGCTCTTCCAACAAGGTCCCATTGCGCTCATTGAGATCCTCTATCTCCTTTTGCATAACTGGATGAGACGCGACCTCGGCTGCACGCTGGGCACGAGTACCATACGCCCCATCAAGCTCTGCTCTGGCAACGGTAAGTTCGGTCTGTAAGCGAACCATTTCCCCCTCGGATTTATCTAATTCGGTACGCGCTTTCCCGGCTTCTGTGTATTTTTCTTGTAACTTCGCCTCCAGGCCGCTTGTCTTAGCAACGTGCTCTTCCTGCTCGGTTGTCACAGTCCGTAACTGGACTTCGAGATTTGAGATATTGTCGTGCTTGTCCTGTAGCTCAGCCAAAAGCTGGTCCTTGTCTTCCTTGCGTGCTGCCAACTGAGCGCTGAGAATATTGCTTCCTTCTATACTTTCTCTGACGGTAGACTCAAGGTCATTCCTCGCTTTCTTGAGCTCTGCAGTTACTTCTGCTAATCGTGCATCTTTTTCGGAATCAGATCTGCTGTTCACTTCCTTCTGCTGTTGGATTTGACGACCCAAGATTTCCTTTTGCTCATGCAAGCCTTTCACTCGTGTGTGTAGCGATTGAACATTCGCGGAGAACGCCTGTAACGAGAAGCTATCCTCTTCTGAAAATATGTTTTGCCAAAGGTCCTGTAAAGCAGTCTCATACTGACGGACTTTTTCCTCGTGAACAAGCCGAGTAGATGTGGAGGTCTGGCTATCATCTTTGAGGCGCTCCACACCCTGCTCCAATGCATCAAGGCCATTCCCAAGGAAAGCTATTTGTTCTTCCGGACCACGACCGGAGACATCAGGAGGTTGAGGATACTGTGCATCAGGATCAAGGTTACTTCGAAGTATAAGACCACGAAGTTGTGTGTTGAGATCCTCAAGCCTCTCTTCAGCAGCGTAGGCTGACTGCTTATAGCCTTGTAGCGTATCGACTTGACTTCTTTGCATGCTGTCGAGGCCCTTTTCCAAATACTCCACCTGCCCTTGTAGCGCGACCTCGTGGTCGTGTTGCAATTTGGATTCTCTGTGTGGTGCAGGAGGTGCAGGTAGCATTTGTCGACCAGCGCTCGCTTGCGCGATAGAATCCCTCAGACGTCGGTTGAGGTCCCAGAGCTTTCGCTCTGTCTCAAGGATTGACTCAGTCTGTTCGGCAAAAGCTGAGGCAATCTTCCCGTTCGTCTGAGTATCACCGGATTCTAAAAACGAGTCTAACGTCTGGTAGAAGCTGAGATCGTCGAACTCATTTCCGAAACTGAGCATGGGTAGGCTTTCAGAGCTTTCAGGGTAGCCGTTCATGTGGTCTGACTGTTCACGAGAGGCGTCATTTTCCAAATAACCCTTGTGTGTGATCTGCAAGACTCCAGCTGTATGTTCTAGCAACCTTTTCTGTAGCTCTTGCGCTCGTCTCTCAAGCCTCAGCAGTTCCTGCGCCAAATCCTCACACTTCTTGTTGCTGGCGACCAACTCATTGTCTGTCTTACTCAACAGATCACTAGCGCTGCCTTTGCTTATCACACTCCTTCGTTGCCGTTTTGATCCGCCGTCCATTACGCTTTCGCGACTGTTTGGGGTATAAAGTCGATTGAGCGAGGTTGCCGCATCACGAAGCTTGTTCTCAATGGCTAATTTGCGCTTGGTTACATCAATGCGAGTCGATAGTATGGATATTTCCTTCTTCAGCTCGTCCACCTCCTCGAAAGACAAGAGCCCATATTGTGAACTGTCCCCAATGGCTGTCTCCATCAATAAGTGCATTGACACCGGATCGCTTGTGTCCAATAGCTCAGAGGTACGCGCTAGTGAGCCATTCGTCTGCAGGGAGGATCAGTCTACTATATATGCCAACGTATCTTCCGCGCTACCTACATGTTGAAACCGCTGCCGGTCTCCTCGGTCTTCGTCCGTGCTTTCCAGCGAGCCTTTGTAGCCTTCAAGCACTGCCTTCGAGGAGGGATGTAGACTGGTGCCATACCGGGAGTCGTAATTCGAGGCAGAGGATGAGCTCCGTACTGCATGGCCGTTCATCGTAAGGGTGCTGGCTTGCGCAACGTCCTCCAACAATGGTGTCCCAAAAGTGCCGGAGGAAGAGAAAGGTTATACTACGTGCATGATTGCAGTTTTCCCTTACAGCAAAACGCGACAGCGTGGTTTCTCCGATACTGGACGATGCAATGATATATTGAATACTCAAGTGCTTTGAAATGCACTTCTTCAATTGTACTGGGCCACTGTGAAACCTCAAAGGCCAACGGATCGACGGCTAAGGTAGCGCGGCTTTTGGCGCTAAGGATCCCTTCCCCGCTGACCTGGTGGGCCTCTAGTCACCCACCATGCCACCCTCCACCCTCCACCCTCTTCATCTTCCAATTGGAGTATGGATCGCTGCAGTGGAGATCAGGTGTGAGATGACTCCTAGGAGTACACCATTATTGTACGGTCCCTATGCTCTGCAGTTGCATCATCGACGAGTGGATCTTCACATTGACCAGGAGCACAATCCAACGTTCTATGCCAGCAATTACTCCGTGCTTCAGTTGTAATGACGCCGTTTGGAGACCGTCAAATTCATTGAGGTCGCGCGCAAGCCAACTGAAGCTTGCTGTGAAACCTCGCCGCGCCTTCGTGTTATGAAACAGGCCTTGCCGCAAGTTCGCCGCGCAAAACCCCCAAGGCTGAGCGAGCCTCTCCCTCAAGCTCTATTCGTGGATAATATAAAGGCGCTCCACAGGATTCAATTCCCTCCCTGCAGCCGTGTTCTATTCTCACTCTCAAAACTTTATAGATGTTCTCCACGTTAAAAATCATGGGAATGTTCAATAATTGGTTTCTCCTGAAGGACAACCGCTGCTGCTGTCTTTCGCAATCGTGAGTTCGGTCTCAAATCGTGACTATCTCGTATAGAACGTCGAATATATCAAGCATGTTGTCAATCGTACTAGCCATCATTCTTCCCACCACTTTCGCGTCTGCAGCGACACCTACGAACGAGACCGCGGATTGTGATTTCACTAATGGTACTCTCAATGTCTACCAGCAACCCAATGCTTCGAGTTCCTACAGCATACCCGCGGTAGTCTCAATCGGGTCTACAGTCGTGAATAGTACGACCAAAACCTGGCAGATAATCAACACCATCGGAAACGTATTGGACTCATCGAACGTCGTCGATGCGCGAGCCCAACAGTTGTCACAATACATATTCTTGGATACATCAAGCACCATCAATGGATCTTCTTCTTCATCTCCGCTCCCATTCGCTGGCTGCTCGTTCACCTTTGGGCTGCCTTCAAGCTACATTGGGAAAACTTCTAGTGATGGGACTTGCGGCGAGATCTTCGGCCAGTCATGCCTCAACGAAATCATGCAGATCGCTCAAGACACCACAGCTACCATTCCGCCTGCTGTCGGATTAACGACTTTGATAGATGCGTGTGACACTGTAAGCGAAACCATTAACAATTACATTGCAACGTCTTCGAAGGCCTGTAGCAAACATGGGCCTTCTATCGAGGTGGGGCAGGGTAAATGATATCCACGCCCATGCATTCCTACAAATATATAGCTGATTCCGACCTAGGTATAAACTTCTCCTACGCCAATAACGAAAACTGCACTAATCCTCCTCCTACCTTGCCTATTCAACTTTTTGAGCAATACGAGCCGTTTCACCAAGGAAATTATACGACATATGACGAGTGGACAAAGACCACCACGCCTATACTTTTGGCTCTGTTTTCCAATGACACGACCCTGAACGGTGCCGGTGGCAGTTATTCACAGGCTTATCTGACCTGTACAAGTCCAATGAACGTTACTGCGGGTAGTCATGATCCGACGAGTGCGGCAGATCATTCTGCGGTGGCGGATGTGAATAGCGTTGTGGGCTTTGCCCTTGCGATTATTGCTTTGGTATTCCTTATGCTATGATGATGATAATGGATATTGACGTCTGCTTCGCGCTTTTAGCAATGGGAGGGTTGCGTGCATTGTTCATCATACCACTGTTATTTATGGCCACTGCATATTTCTCGGTCTGGGCGTTAGACGATTTGGCCGCGCCGTCTGTAATTTACTCCACACGCAATACTATGTGTCTAGCAGTCTCGCTACGATATCTTGAAAGAGCATCAATAATCCGAATGGATAGTTCTTGTCGGCCATCGCCTTAATATGAGATACATTCTATGCTGCGTAGACGGTCGAGGTACACGTTGCACGCTGAAAAATGCCGAGGGCTGAAGTATAGCTGTACAAGTCCGCCAAGTTTCGTTGCCTTGACCAGAAGATGTTGTTCGCTGGCACCATGAATTGACCTCGTGCTACATCCCATTCACCGCGACCACCTGCCATTACTTCAATTGCCGGAAGAGCTTTGGTGCGGCGCACTGGGTCGCGCAGTGTTGGAGGTGGAAGACTAGACATAGTTAACGTTTCATTAGCATTCGTCCCGGTATGAGCCATGTATCGCCATTAAACTCACATTCCTCCACGCAGTCTTCCTTGGGGCCCTTGTGGTTTGGGTTCTCGTGCTGCTTGGTAACGCGCTCGGCGCACGCCTCGTAATGGTGCTTTGCGGGAGCGCATTGAGCAGACCTGGCGCACTCTGTAGACGCAAGGTTGTTAGCTCTGTGTTTTTTTCTCGGTTCGGGGGCTCTCTGCGAGGAGCCAAATGGATGCAAAGCAATGGCCAGGAGTTCCGAACGGGGCCGGAGCTCAAGCTTGTCACTTTTGCTTAAATCCCACTTTGGACGCCGTAGCCCAAGAATAGACTGTAGGGCAATGTATTGTATATAGAGAAAGCCATTGACTTACGCTCCTCAAGCTTAGGCTTTGGATCCTCAGGCTCCTCCTCCTCCTCCTCTTCTTCCTCCTCATCATCTCCACCCTCGTCATCGCCCCCCTCCTCCTCTCCGCCTTCCTCTTCTCCCTCTTCTTTATCACCATCATCGCTCTTCTCCTCTCCCTTGTCGTCACCTCCTTCGTCGTCCTCTTTCTCCTCTTCGGGGGGCGCCTCAGCGTGCAGCTCCGTGAAGCCCATCGAGTTGTAGAAATCGGAGAAAATATCGGAGAAACCCATAGCGGCGGCAGGTAAGGATTATGATGCTGCCGCAGCTGGTGAGAGGGTCGTCAATGTTCAATGGATGGAGTCGGAGGCTTCTGGTCTAGGGCAAGGATGGGAAGCGAGGTTCTTCGGGCCTCAAGCATTTTGATGAGGTAAAGCTTGGCGGCACGTGATTGGCTGGATTTTCTAGGCACGGAGACGACGTGCCAAATTCCGAATCTCAAAGGCTCTCCATTACACTTCACAACTTGAAGTGCGGTGAAAAGTCTGTATGTGTGAGTTTAGCTCTTCAGATTACGTCCAACAGTGCATACAAAATCTGAGAACAAGCCTTGGGCTACCCACTTGCATACAACATGGCTAATTACATCTCAGCAAATCCACTCTGGTGCCTTCTTTGGCTCGTCTTCGCTGGACCTTGCAAAGCAATATACGAGAAAGCTAGGGAATTGCTTGGAGCTCGGCCTAGTAGTCTTCAAATGGAGGCTTCCCACACTGTAGCCATCTTGCATCCTGGAACAAGAAACACTGGCCTCAGATTTCACTCATCTAGCACGGCGGTGTCTGCAGTACGGAGAATTGGTCTTTGACTGCTCTAGCAGGTCACATGAGTGACCGTCTTCGATAGTATTCATGCATTCATCTCCTGAGAATAACAATTCTGGCAATGCCTTTTCAATTAGAAAAGGAGTAGCTTCTTGCTTTGCTCATCAATTATCAAGTAGCCCCACAATTAGAAGCAGCTCTATTCTAATACACATGATCTCAAAATCAGTGTCATGTGGCAACGTGTAGAGACAAAGCGATGATTCCTCCTTGAACATGCATAGGAAAGGAGGCACCTAGAACATTCAGGGTCTCACCAAAACACTGATCAGAGCAAACCAAAGACACTCAAAGCTATGCTTTAAAACTCAGTGTGCCCTGCCTCTCACACTTTCAGAGCTTCAAGTGAGATTCGAAGGAACGCGCTAGCCGCGCGCTACGCCTCCGCGTTGAGTGGAGCCTCCTTTTTCTTCAACACCATCACCGAGAGCTATTTTTGCTGCCGTAGCTTGAGTCAAATCTTTTTTTGATGCTAGCTTGTTGATGCTCATCTTTTCACCCTAACTTTACATTAAAAATGGCACCTGTGAACCAGCCCACATTCAGCAAGGACGAGAAAGTCTTGTGCTTTCACCATGAGCTCTTATACGAAGCCAAAGTGCTCGACTCGAAACACACGGAAGAAAAGGATAAGAAGAGTCCGATGCAATATCGGGTTCACTACAAGGGATGGAAGAACACGTAAGTGCGATTTAAATTTACATCCTATTGTCAAAGTTGAGGTTTGCCCTATTGTCATTCACTCATTCACTTCACCCCTCTGTTCAACTATGCTGAAACACCAACCTCCCCTTTCTTGATACATCAGCTGTTCAGCGTCTGCCTTTTTCTCTCTTTCTTTAGCATACACACTGTCATATTAAAACTCCCGCCGTTTTGAAACACCACATTTTCTCATACCTCCTCGCTGATCGAGGCTTCCCTTCGCTGCAATTATTGTTGTATCTACGCCTTCTCCACTGTACCACATTAATCTACCTCGCATTGTTACCATCGTATCTATTTACAGCAATTTTGCGCAGGATCGCATTTTCATCAGTACATCATACTAATACACACGCACTCCGCCAGCTGGGACGACTGGGTGCCAGAAGACCGCCTCCGCAAACTCAACGACGAAAACAAAGGCCTAGCCACACATCTCAGAAACGAGTTCATGGCTCTACAGAGGCCCGCGAAGCCAAGCATTTCTGCTGCGACCAAGAAGAAGAATGCCGGCTCTGATCTCAGCTCTACTCGTGGGAGCGAAGAGCGTCATGCTTCCCTTCCTGCAACTGGCCGGGGTCAGAAGCGCGGGCGCGACAACGACATTGAGAAGGCGAGTGAACCTCTTTCATTAGACCAACGACGCTCTTCTTCACGCGAGCGACGCGAGCGGCGCAAGCCAAGCAAAGCGGAATCGCCGCCACACCAACCCCCAAAAAGAACAAGAGGCAAAGCCAAGGCGGATTCACCAGCAATCATTCCCAAGACAAGAGGCAAACGTCAGGCTACGATCCCAGCATCAGAGATAGAAACGCCGACTTCCCCACATCCTCCACCGGACAAACCGGCTAAACGCAAGGCTGCATCCCCATCTGAGTCGCCGCATGAGCCTTACGTTCTCTCGGAAGGATCCTCATTTTACGAGCGCTTTTCGCTCGATGACTCCAAAGTGAAGACTTCAAAGCCACCAACTGCGCCACAGAAGCCGACTGCCAAAAATGATTCGGACGATCCTCTGTTGAGCTCTGCTCGATATTCGCTACAGGATCTGGATCCAGGAGACGCAATTGAGAGGAATCAAGGATCAGAAGCCGGTCAGAATAGCCGGAAAGAACGAGCAGAAGCCCGTCATGCTCGCGAAGCAGGCGAGATTCGTCCCGGTGGTGCCCTGCTCGCTTTGTACAAAGACCAGCCTCGTGGTACGAAGATCACAGTTGCTGGAATCCCACTGGACGAGACACCCGCGGACCTTGCCTCATTTGTGAAGAAGAAGCGTCAGCGTGTGAAGACTATAGACAATAAGATCAAATTTACTGACAAACCTACCCTACAACAGGAGGAGACATTCAACTTGCGCCCAGCCATCCACATCAATGTCCCAGACCATCTCAAATCCATCCTCGTCGACGACTGGGAGAACGTTACGAAGAACCTTTCTCTGGTGCCGTTGCCATCTAAGCCTTCTGCCAACGAAATTTTAACAAGCTACTTCGATGAGGAGAAAAACAAGCGTCACCTCGGATCTCCCGAAGCTGATCTGCTGGAAGAGGTCGTTGCAGGGTTAAAGGAGTACTTTGAAAAGTGCGTTGGTCGCATCTTGCTCTACCGTTTCGAGCGCCAGCAATACCTCGAAGTCTACAATGCGGTGCAGGGGGGTACTGGAGAGTATGAGGGAAAGGGTATGGGTGATATCTATGGTGCTGAGCATTTGTGCCGTCTGTTTGGTAAGTCGCTTCCCCCTCCCATTACGACATCAACTACCTATACCTTTACACCAAGCATGCCTCACCCACTCCCAACGCAAGGCTGACGATTCATCTCAGTTTCCCTTCCCGAACTCATCGCCCAAACAAACATGGACCAACAATCCGTCAACCGTCTCCGCGAAGAACTCCACAAGCTGACCCAATGGCTCGGCAAAAATTCCACTCGCTTCTTCAAAGCTCCGTACGAAACCGCCAGCCAGGATTACATCGAGAAGGTCCGTGGTGTTTGAGGAGAGTTGGGTTCAAGGTTTGGATAGAGGAGACTCGATCAATGAATGCATGGACAGAGAATGATAACCGAATCTATCACATGGTGCTTTATCTCGAGCGAAAAGTCCGTTGAGCGACAGAGGTCAGCATCTCGAGCGTCTCACATTCGCCTGTCATACGCCTGCAAATCATTCGAGGAGCATACGGGCTAGGTGCATTCAAGAAGGGTTTCTCCACAATTCCATTACGTTCTGCGAACCATCAACAAACAAGCACATGCATGAAGGACTATTCCACATGGAAGGGAGATCCTGAGGTAGCAGAGGTCTAGCATAGAATAGCATGCAATAAGACATTTCAGCCCATCTGGTAATTTTGCCTTGAATGCGTTGATACATGTTCTTTGGTTGCTTTTGGCCAACGCGTGAACGCCAACAGTAGTATTTGAGGTTGAAGCGGTAGGAAGGCTCCAAAAAATGAGAAGCTCACATCAAGCAGGATGGTTTTAATAGGTTATCGATTGAGCTGACTCGCCTGACATTCGTAACGATCATCCTCTTTAAAGATAACGCACAAAATTGCCGTTCACATATGAAAACAACGTATCAGATTGGAACCTTTTGTGACAGCTTGCCTGTATACATATGTACATAACTAAATTTACCCTAATGTACCTCTGCTCCACCATTCTCCTTCTGCTCATACCTTCTCTGTGACCAATTGACGCACTCACTCCCCCTTCAACTTCTCCTGCACGACCCCAAATGCCATATTTAACATATCCATCTCCTCCTTCATATGCGTCCCCTTTAACCCCGTCGCCACACTCGCGCTAGGATTCCTCCCCGCATACATCACATGTTTCCGATCATGATGTTCCGTCTCATTCAACAGCGTCTCAAGCCTTGGCTGCGTAAAACTCCACGCTCCCGCATTCAACGGTTCTTCCTGCGCCCACACGATCGTCTTCGCGTTGGGATACATATCTAGATTCTCACGGAGCTGCGCCCAGGGGAAGGGGTTGAGTTGCTCGATACGGGTGATGGCTGTGGAGTTTAGTTTGTGCTCGGCGCGGTGTTTGTGGAGGGCGACGTAGACTTGGCCGGAGCAGAGGATTACGCGGTCGATTTGGTCATGCGGGAGGATGGAATTGTCGTTATGAGCGGGGTCGGGGATGATCCACTGGAAGTGCGACTCGCCGGTGAAGTCTTCAATGGGGGAGCGTGCGAGAGGGTGGCGGAGGAGGGATTTGGAGAAGAAGAGGATCAGAGCTGGCGAAGCGTTGTCAGTTCGCTGGCTAGAGGTGGAAATTTAGGATATACATACGTTTTCTGAATTGTCGGTTCATCTGCCTTCTGAGGATGTGGAAGAGATTTGACGGTGTAGTCATGTAGGCGATTTGCATGTTGCAGTCCTGATGTTGGCGGTCAAGCTTGGCTTCTGAGGGGAAAATCCTCGGGTCTTCGTTGCAAAGCTGCAGATACCGTTCCATTCTGCCAGAAGAATGCTCTGGGCCTTGCCCATCATAACCGTGAGGGAGGGACATGACGAGACCAGAACGCTGCATCCATTTCACTTCCCCTGAGGCGATGAACTGGTCGATAATGCATTGACAATTGTTGGCGAAGTCACCAAACTGAGCCTCCCACACGACAAGAGCGTTGGGCGAGGAAAGTGAGTACCCGTATTCGAAACCAAGGACGCCAAATTCACTCAAGGAAGAATTGGTAATTCTGAAGGTACCCTGTTTCTCACTGATGTGCTGCAGTGGGGTGTAGGTCTCCTCGCTCTCCTGGTCATGGAGCACTGCATGACGCTGGGAGAAAGTACCGCGCTCTACATCTTGGCCCGATACTCTGACGTGATGCCCCTCGTCACAAAGTGTACCAAATGCGAGTGCTTCTGCCGTAGACCAGTCAATGGCTTTGCCTTCGTCGACAGCCTTCTTCCTGCCTGCGAGGATACGCTTCAGATTCCGATGGACGTTGAAGCCTTCCGGTGCAGTGCTAATCTTTTCTCCTATATGCTTCAGTTCCTCTACTGGAACACCGGTTGGCAAATGTGGCAGGATCTCCGTTGCAAGCTCCTTAGGAGATTTGAATCCGTTCCAGGCGGACGTAAGCCATTCCTTTGAAGTTGGCTGATAGTCTCTGCTAGATTCGAAGCTAGTGGTCAACATCGTCCAGACCCACTTCTTGTGCTCCTCAATGTCATCCTTTGTGAAAGACTTTTCCTTCAGAAGCTTCTCTTCGTACTTCTGTACAGCTGGCTTCTGCTCATTGATCCTCTGATACATCAGTGGCTGGGTGAAAGACGGTTGATCTGTCTCGTTATGGCCTTGTTTTCTGTAGCATACGATATCCACAACGACATCCTTCTTGAACTCAGCTCGCCAATCTGCGGCCATCTGACACACAAAATTGACAGCTTCGACATCATCACCATTGACGTGGAAGACGGGAGCGTCAAATGCCTTTGCAATGTCCGAGCAATAAGGGGTAGACCTGGCAAATCGAGGATCTGTGGTGAAGCCAATCTGATTGTTGATGATCATATGGATTGTTCCTCCAGTTGAATATGCAGGCAAGGCATGAAAGCCCATAGTCTCGTACACAACACCTTGACCAGCAAAAGCAGCGTCGCCATGTAAGAGAACACCCATCGCCGAAAGAAAATACTTTTCATCGTTGTTGTAGTGTTGGATGGCTCGGGTTTTGCCTAGAACTACAGGATCTTCGGCTTCAAGATGCGACGGATTTGCTACAAGCGATAGTTGCACACGCTTGCCAGAAGGAGTGGGACGTTCAAAGTTCATGCCGAGATGGTACTTGACATCCCCAGAGCCTTCGTCGGAAGGTTCAGCACTGCCACCAAACTCGCTGAAGATTGACTCATTCGGCTTTCGGACCACGTTACTCAGAACGTTGAGTCTGCCACGGTGAGGCATGCCGATAACGATATCCTTGACACCGTAGTCAACACTACGGTCGATCAAAGCCTTCATTCCAGGGACAAGCGTTTCACCACCTTCCAGTCCGAACCGTTTGTCATTTGGGTATTTAGTTGCCAGGAAGTTCTCAAAGCTCGAGCTCCATATCAAACGATCCAATATCCTACGCTTATCGTCGACCGAGTATTTGTATGGCGAAGGGATTTCCGTACGACTTCGGATCCAGTCGCACTGGTCCCTGTCTGGGATATGGATGAATTCCACGCCATATGCACCACAGTATAATCTCTCGCATGTGCTAATGATATCTCTTAATGTCATCTTCTCCCTGCCATCAATCTTGAACCTAGGGAGAATGCCACGGCCCAGTGCGAATTCCGTATCGAGGTCCTTCTCGGTAAATTGATAGTGATCGAGCTTCAACTCTTTTGGATCACGGTATCCGAAAGCTTCAGCTTCCCCGCGTATCCCTAACGGGTCGGTCTTTGCCTTGTGGTGTCCACGCGCTTGGTAAGCGCGCACCAAGAGTTGTACTTTGAGATGGTTGGTCACGTCTGGGCCTTCACTTGCCGAGAGCCCAGCACCGGGCATCGCTTGTGGGACGCCACCCGCAGGAGTCGGCACTATGGTCGGTGGAGGTTGAAAAGCCTGCGACATGGGCATGTTTCCGTCTTCCATATTTCGAAAATAAACTTGCCAGGAGAAGTGGACACTTGACGGTTCCTTTTTCCATTGCATATACATCTCGTCTATATAGTTCGCGGTGTTGCCTTGCAGAAAAGAGTCATTAGGATCCTATAAACTCATTTCTCAGCTTCATCTTTTCCCATGTCGTTTCCAGCGGCAAGACTACTTACCACGCCTTTGTTGGTCTCTTCTGCGGCCACAGCATAATGCCGGCTTTGCAAGCGCTGTGACAACATAAGAAGCCTCGACGGGCGTACTGAAGGGACGGAGGAGGCTCTCAAAGTAGCAATGGAGCATGTTGACCGTCTGAGAGGGCAGATACCTCTTGAGAGGCAGCTGCCCGATTTGTGGAGGGAGGAACGGAGCATCATGGAATGGTGAATGTCTATAGACAACGTACTCCATGGACCTTGGGTGGGCAGAGCACACTCAAGCAAAGCTGCTGTATGTAAGGAAAAGAAATAGCTCAAACAAGGTCAGATGTTGTTGCCGCTAACGGCGCCGGCGACGCTTCCGCTTTGTCCGCCAAGCTAAGCCTTGTCGGATGCAGTTGCCCTCATTAAGAGCATTGACTCCCTCAACGTGTGTCATTCTGCATAAAAATATTCTCGTTGACCATGATGTAGAGGTCCAACATGGCACCATCCAGAGGCTCTGCCGCCTACAAGAAGAAGGATGGCACCCTCGCTGTCTCCAAGGACGGTCAGTCGGTGTCATGGACGCCGGTGGCACCTCCACGATCAGAACCCGCCTTGACACTGCCCGTCTCGAATATCACTAGTGAGTATGAGTCATATAGCCCCAGCCGAGCTGCCAGGAACAAATACGATCACTCTTCCACGTTGAAGTTAAAGCGGATGACTCTAAGCTTTTCCAGTTATGCTAAACGTAACTTGAAGCTGACATGGCACATAGACCTTCAACAGACGCCGGCAACCAACTCAAAAGTGATGCTTAAGATCTTTGCTCAAGCTTCAGGTACATCTACTTCAGAAACCCATACCTTCACGTTCACGTCGCCCACGACCGCGAGGGCCGAGGCGGATACCATCAGAGATGCCCTCAGCAAGACGATCCAGATCATCAAATCTGGAGGAGCCCCACCGGCTGCGTCAGGAGGAGCTGGGGGTTCCTCTGCAGCCATGGCTATCGCAAGTGCCGTGTCTTCAAACCCCAGAGCAGGCGCAGACTCGCGTGCCTGGTATGATGACGAAAAGCTAAAGAAAGACGTGGAGTTACAACAGTCGATACTGAAATCCAATCCATCACTTTCCAAGACTTTCATGGAATCCTTGCGAACGAAGCCTGAGTCCATATCAAGTTCCCAATTTACGGCCCAGTTCTGGTCTACCAGAGTACATCTTCTACGAGCGCATGCTATCGAAAAGAATCAGACTAGAGGCGCCTACAATGTCTTGTCGAGTATCAAGCCCATGACCGTGGACAATGCAACCAGGCTTAGCATAAGCAAAGAGCAAATACAATTGATATTCAATCAACATTCTCTCGTCAAACGTGTCTATGATGAAAACGTTCCAAAGCTCAGCGAAGAAGCTTTCTGGTCTCGCTTCTTCCAGAGTAGACTCTTCAAGAAGCTCAAGGGCGAGAGGATAACGGAAGCCGATCCTACGGACAATGTACTCGACAAGTACCTACAGTACGATGATGATGCGGAGAGAGCCAAGCAGCTTATGGCGTCCCATGTTCCGCATATCATTGACGTGGAGGGCAATGAACAGAATCACAGCCAGCGCAAGGGAAATCAACCGGATCTCACGATGCGCCCAAGTTCCTACGACAGAGTACCAATCATCCGAACTTTGAATTCTTTGAGTGAAAAGATACTATCTCATGTAGCGCCTAACGACATCGACCCTTCCTTGCCCATAGGCGTTGATGAAGAAACATTCAACGAGCTCGCCCTACGGGATTTACAAGGCGATGCTGCCGAGAACCGTGTGATTCTCAACATCAAAGACCAAAGCCGCTTCTTCAATTCTGACAAAGGAAGCGGTGTCTCGGCAGATGCGCTGCTCTATGCCAAGCAGGACCCAGTCAAAGTCCTTCGGTCAATACTATCGGACCTGGCGCGCGTCAGCTCTAATACCAACCTCGACACCGCTATTGGTGTAGATGACGACAGTGATAGCGATTATGACGATGAGTCTAACCTGAAAAAGGGCCACGTAGGTAGCAAAGCTAGTCTTTCAGGGGCCACGGCCCAAATGCTCTCCGCCGTCGCCCAACAGCGGGCCCAGAGTGATGACCTTTCCGCTTCCTCGTCCGGTTTCTCCACGGTGCAATCGTCGTCAACCTCTGGCCTTTCAGCAGCCATTTTCGACCGCCTCTCCCTCACCCATGCAACCACCACCGAGTTTCTCCAGCACTTCTGGTCCGCTTTCCTTTCCGGCGACCCTAATAGGGCTGATGAAATCGGCAAGCTGTTCGAGACATTGAACAGAGCCATGGATCGCATCAAAGCGGTCGCTACGGACGCTGAAGCGGAGCGCCAAAAGGAAATCGAGAAGTTGAAGAAGCAGGTACAGGATCTTTTTGAGCGGACGGGCAAGAGGCGGAGGATGGATTATGAGAGCACTCCAGGGGGTGCAAAGGCAGTCGATCAACTGTTGGCGCCCACGGTGAAGGCGATCGAGGTTGCTACGAAGCAGTACAAGAAGGCTTTGGCGCAGCAGAGTGAAGAAAATGGTTAGACTTAACGGTCAGCCAGCGGAGAAGTGTTTGTACAATTTGAGGTAAAGATGCATAGCGATGGTGTTCTCATCCATGGTAGCCAGAAGCTGGTGGAGTCCCAGAATACAAAAAAGTCAGACTAATGGAACGACATAATTGAAAGAGCGTTTCGTAATAAGATGCATCCCATGGTCGCGCATTCGCCGAAACCGTACACACGCATACAAACCTGCAAATAGTCTTGATGGAGAAGGAGAAATCGTGGGGAGGATGACACAGGAACGAGACAACGGAAGGGATGAAAACCTAAGAGAAAGCGAGGAAACTGACCTCGGTCCACCCTCATCGAGCCATCCAACCCGAATCTTCTTATCCTCAACAGCCGCATCATCATCATGTTGTATCCACAAATTTCCAGCCAGACAGACAAAGAGTCTCACATCTGACTACCGGCCGCCCTACACGATGGGCCTCACTTACAGCGTGTCCTATTGGATCCAATCCTTCACCCTGTGCAATTCCAACCCTCTTCTTTTGTTAGAAGTCTCTCTTTCACTCCAAGTTACGCCGCTTTGTCCCTTGACGTCCACGATAACATTGTTGTATCGATTGATAAATATGGTGTACATCCGGTGGCTGATAAAATCATCAAGGAAAGGGCTTGAGGATCATTTTTGAAAATATTCGAATTCGTTGGCGAGGACGTCTTTGTTGAGACTTGTGTTGAGAGTTCTGATAGCTTGGGTTGTTATGGCTGAGGGTTGAGGAATATTATGGCGTTGTGCGAGCAGCGGGAAAGGCGGAACAGAACCAGGAGGCGATTAGACGTTGTATGCTAATCTTGGTGTATACTGTGATGTGAGCAGAGGGAATCGTAGGATGCGATTTGGCTCGTGGAAGTCTCGTTCTCTGTGTATTTGATTGAATGTCCTCTATATATAACTAAATTGCTCGTAAACAATTACTGTTTCGCATGAACCTAAGTGGCCTTTTTCACACGTTGGTGAATATGGGGAAAAGTCCGGGCCCATAGCAAAGATATTACTATATCGATTGATACGTTTGATAAGTATTCGGCTGCTCTAATGAGGCAGACTTTGGCACAAGGGAACGGAGAATCCGAAGGGGATTAAAGGAGGTAAGTTGTATTTAGGTTCCTCGAGCGGGAGTTCGTGGTCGTGTCACTATTTGTTCGTACGCAACCTTATTCCGGAGAATCTCTTTGATGGCTAATCTATTAGCTAGATCAGGCATACGCGGCGACAGGTCATAGGTAAAGTCATATTTTGGATGCCGAACATATCATACTTAAATGAATTCAGATGACATAGGCGAATTGCTGACTTGTCGAAGCATCCGTAAGTAAATCCGGTTTTCTGCAGAAAATAGTGACTCACTCCTAACTGACTGGTAGGTGGCCTCACTATCTACGTTCTCTCATACAACGCTAAAGACTGGAGCAACAGGTTGACCATTGCGGACGGCAGCGAACCAGCAGATGAGTATTACGGAACCTTGGACGCCTATCTATCGCTGTCAAAGGCTCAGGACGCAGCAATTGATTGGGCGCTCGAGCAATTTCGGGATCGTCTTGAAAGATACGATCCACCTCTCGCAACCAAAGAGGACAGAGATGCGGCGTCTGAGGACTGGCGGAAATTGGAGTCCGAGCAGGGCGATGTTTGGTCGTACACAATCAGCAAGGATGATGTGACATTGATCGTGAGGGCTGAGAGATATGTTGCATATGGTTCTCATATTCCTAGATTTGATGATGACGGAGGGAGGAGAACATTAGCAAGATGAAGGGAATAATAATTGGAGGGCAATCGGGTGTCGAGGAGAAGGCTGTGCAGCAGACGGTAGGGTGTGGATACCAAGCGAACGTTAGAGAGAAACAGAGATGGTACTTTTCACATTAGGTTCATCTAACGTTCAAGTAGTCTTCTCAAAGAAGGGGCTCCAATCAGCTTGCGGTACCTTTCACAGTAAGTCAAGATTCGAGGATAATGATAACCAATGATTTGGTCATTGGTCTTGCGCTAGAATCCGCAAGTCTCTATCACTTGCAGGAGACTATTCTAGATGCTGCACGATTGCCTGCATGATGGCATTATGAAAGGGAGAGAAAGGGAAAAGGAAGAAGGATAAGGGACACAGGCGGTCTCAATTGGCTCAATTAACATCAACACTAAGCAAGCCCTAATTCTCCTAGGCTGTCTCGGTAAAGTCGGGAGCCTCGGGAGGCGGCGTCCTGGAATTAAAATCTGCAGCTCGAGCCTTGAGCTCCACCATTACTCGTACCTTAGCTCACCAAACAAAAACCTTGCTCAACCGAACCCGAATTTGTACGAGTGAGGCCAGCTGTCATTACATATTCCCCAGACTGCAATTGAATACTTCAACAGCAACCCAGTGATAAGGTATAGCCAGCGAAGCACACCTTGACCTCTTATTCAATCTTTTATCCACCTGTTCTCTTTGTCTCTCGTTCATTGCTTACTGCACGAAAAGCCCACTTACGAGCAAGTCCACCCCACTATCCGCCTATTCATTCGCTCGTAGTCCTAGCAATTCTTCCGTCATGAAGGGTATACCCCCTCTATGCTTTCCGCTCATCAATGCAGCTAAGCTGACTTTTTCATAGCACTCATTCTTGTTGGAGGCTATGGCACCCGTCTACGACCTTTGGTACGGCAACCTTTGCCCAGCGAGCACGATGCAAAAGCGCCATGATGAAAGAGCTACATGTCTCTGACTACTGCCAGACCCTCACTTTGCCCAAGCCATTGGTTGAGTTCGCCAATCGTCCCATGATCCTCCATCAGATCGAGAGCTTGGCAGCTGCTGGTGTGACCGACATCGTCTTGGCCGTCAACTACCGACCCGATATTATGGCTAAAGCCTTGAAGAAAGTATGTACCCTCACATAAATCAAGACATTCTGGGAGATCTAAGCGATGTTGCTAACAGCCTACAGTATGAAGAAGAATACAACGTGAACATCGAATTCTCCATTGAGACCGAGCCTCTTGGAACGGCGGGCCCTCTCAAGTTGGCTGAGAAGACCCTTGGCAAAGACGACTCGCCATTCTTCGTCCTGAATTCAGACGTCATCTGTGACTACCCCCTCGAGGAGCTTGCCGCATTCCACAAATCGCATGGTGAGGAAGGCACAATCGTGGTCACGAAAGTCGAGGAACCGTCAAAATACGGTGTAGTCGTACACAAGCCAGATCACCCATCGAGAATTGATCGTTTCGTCGAGAAGCCGGTTGAGTTCGTTGGCAACCGAATCAATGCTGGTCTATACATCCTCAACCCTAGCGTTCTAAAGCGCATCGAGCTTCGTCCCACATCCATTGAGCAAGAGACGTTCCCAGCTATTGTCAAGGACGGCCAATTACACTCTTTCGACCTTGAAGGTTACTGGATGGACGTCGGGCAGCCGAAAGACTTCCTCAGCGGCACCTGTCTCTACCTCTCTTCTTTGACTAAAAAAGGCTCAAAGAAAATTGAGGCATCCTCAAAGCCATATGTATACGGAGGCAACGTGATGGTTGATCCCTCGGCGAAGATTGGCAAGAATTGCAGAATCGGTCCAAATGTCACTATTGGGCCAAATGTTGTCATTGGCGATGGCGTGCGGATACAGCGGTCTGTGCTCTTGGATGGTAGCAGGGTCAAAGATCATGCATGGGTCAAATCTACCATTGTTGGTTGGAGAAGCACGATTGGCAAGTGGGCTAGACTCGAGAACGTGTCAGTGCTCGGAGAAGACGTTACAATTGGGGATGAGATCTACGTCAATGGAGGATCGATCTTGCCGCACAAGTCGATCAAGCAAAATGTTGATGGTATTTTCATGTATCCTTTCCAAAGCTTACGATCAACGCTGACCCGTCATAGTCCCTGCGATCATCATGTAGAGAATGAACTCGGTCTACTTCATTTCGACATGTGCATTAATATTCTCTCTGAAACCTTGATCATCTTCACTCACCTCGTCAGATGATACTTCGATCTCTCTTGCATTGCGTGGGCGCAGAAATTATATGAGCCCTTTTTTCAATAGAAAGATGAGAAAAGCAGAGCAGACGCGTTGCCCATGCGAGATCTCTCCTACGGCACAATAGATAGAGCTTCAATGAATTCAAACCCCCAATGTCTTGTCCTCAAAGGGCTAACTGCATTGTGATCTCGAATCCCTTTCTGTCGACCAGCACCAGTGATAGTGACCCATCATGAATTCAAGCCCAGGGCTCTAGTCATCTCAGCCTCTGATACTGTACGTAAGATACCTGCGGCGACCTCACCCCGGGTCCATTCCATCACATAACTATCAGACAAAGTCCATAACACTATCGTCCACCAACATCTGCTCGATCATGATTAAAATCCCCAGAAAGGAGAAGCCACAACTCCTGACGCTCTCCCCCGCTCTTTAATGCACGACTCGTAAGCCTCTGCACCGGCTACGCCCAACCACCTCCATCCCGCCATTTCCCCATCTCTACCGCGTCTCGACCACCGCAATCGCACTCCGGCGCCGGATCATCATTGGACCCGTTCCGCTGTTCGGTTCGAGCGCGGATACCGCATCGACTCCGGGTCTCAACGGCAAATGGTGCGTACTCCGGCCGAAACGGAAGGGCCCCAGCTCTTCGATCGCCGTGCTAACCGGGATCTCGTTCGAGCTGGCTTCGCACGGACCGAGCGCGGCGGATCCGATCGATCCGGTAGCGTGGCTGTCGGCCTGAATGAAGATGTCCGAATAACTGCCGTCTCCTTTTGAGGAAGTTATTGCTCAATCTTTCTAGTGGACCGCCGCCCGGGCTCTGGACCTTCCCTGCGCTTCCAGGGAAGAATATCGGGCCATTGGCCGACCATGTAATATTGGCCGCCGTCCCATTCGAAGTGGATGATGTGCCGGGCGCCGCCGGGAATCCGCCATCAAGGCCACCGGGAATGAGGCCCTTCAGGCCTTGAGTCGGAGCGAGACCCGAGCTCGCGTGGGGAACCGTCGGTGTCCCAATTGCCAGGCCGTCGCTTCCAGTCGATACGGGTGTTTGTGAGTTTGTGATGGTGGGCGCGTTCGCTGTTGATGCTGTGCCTGCGATTGCGATGCCGTTTGAGAGTGCGGTGATTGTCTGGACCGAGGTGGTAAAGGTGGAAGGAGAATAGGCGTGCAGAGGTATAGGTACGGTGGATGTTCCTGTTTCTAGTCCGCCATTCCCAAATGACTACTGTGTACCAGAGGCTGTGACAGCAGGGCCGTTGCTAGTCAAGTTTCGCGTTTTGAACAATGATACCCCTTAGGACAAGCACAACCATTTTGTCAGCCGCTATGGTCGCTACTGATGGAAGAGACGAGCTCTCAGCGCCGAGAGGTATGGTGGGCGTCCGGATGGTCAATGCCGTTGAGCCCAGTGATACCACCTTGCTGTCGATTGTGGGACCCTGGTCGCCTGCTGCACACCTTTTTCCTACGGCTATAAGATGAGCGGCAGAGAGGGTCATTGTCTCACCGCCGACAGGAAGGACGGGACTGAAGCTGGGGTTGCAGTGGGCAGAATGCTGTGGATGGTCGAATTACCCAGTACGATGTCGCCATTTGTGTGCAGAGCGATGTATGTGCTAGACGCGATTGTTGGGGTGTATCCAGCCGTAATTAATTGACTGTCAACGATGACTACACTAGAATGGGATGCAGGTACCTGAGTGTTATCATGGCCATCAACAATGGTCACGAAGGGTGCTTGTACCGGAGCTGCAGCATGTACTGATGGCGAAGTATACGGCTCGCCGTTGGTGTTTGGAAGGGGCCTGTTGGGTTGCTGGTCTGTGCTATTGGATCCACTCGGGTCTGCAGGGTGATTTGCAGGTTGTGGAACCACAACATCGGAATTTTTGCCTCCATTGGGACCACTAGTGGCCAGATTGGGGAACCCTGGGCCATTCGCCGGCTCTGAAGCCACAATGGCAGGACCGTAATCAACATTCGGATCACTCGTACCTGGATCATTGGTAGACGCAGGATCGCCCGTGGGTTTTGGAGCCACAACGCCCGCACCGCTGGTAGCTGAATTATTTGCAGTCGCTGGGTCATTGGAAGGTTTAAAAGCCGCAACGCCAGGATCTTCATTAGAATTCGTATCACTAGTAGCTGAATTCTGCGCAGGCGTTGGGTCAATGAAGTGTTTGAGAGTCGCGACGGGAGCATCGGTCTCGGCATCCGGATCAGCAGACACTGGGTCCTTCGCAGGCGTTAGATGGTCTGGAATGCCGCGCGCTGATTTACTATCCGCGGCACCACCAGGTGCAGGTGTGCTTGCAGGGGGTGTCGGCGAAGGCGTGGGTTGTGCAGCTTGTGAACCTGGGAAGGGAGCAGCAACACTTAATGGAATCGAATGCTTCAGTGGGGTAGGAGCCACAACATCGGCTGCCGTCAACGCACGAGGCGGGTCAATTATATCAAGACTTTGAAAACAATTCGCCCAGGCCGGGTCTAGAGCTTCCAATCTAGGTGGGTCTTGCAGCCATGGGTGGCAATGCTGCAAGTCATATTTTGCGTCAAGAAGGATACGCGAACTATTGCCACTGTACCAGTTGCTGGAGCAATTCGAATAGTTGTCTGCGTAACTGATGGGTACTCATGCATTGCTGTGAGAGTAATTACCATCTCGTGTCTTTAGATCCGTGGGTGCGTGAGCTATCATTGTGCTAGCGATGGTCCTTCCCAAATTTCCTAGGCAGTCGTTTGTTGCTGAGATATTATAGTAGGTGACGTAGGCTGATGGGGAAGTACTAAGTCGGTTATCAACAGCAAGGTTCGAATGAGAGAAGGGTATGTTTACTAGGTGAATCCATCCGAATCAACAATGGTTGTAATAGCGCGCTGAGGCGCCGGTGTAGGCCAATAGTGTAGTTGAGCATTTGAAACGCGCACTTCGCAGGAAGTATCACAGGATGGAGAAGTGACCTTCGGTGTCCAATCGGCCACATAGTACTGCGCATTGGTCATTTGGAAGTACACAGGCCTTGTTTTCGTATAAAGTGCATCCGATATGGATGAATAAAAGCTACTGTAGTCTGCTGATTCAAGTGACAGACAAAAGCTTCTGGCGCTCGCGTTAAGACCATAGAGCTGAAGAGTCTCCGGCTGGAGGCCTTGGGTGACCACTGCTTTTACCTCAGGGTCGGCCCAAATATGAGAGCACCAGTACTCTTTGAATGGCATAGGGGGTACGAGGTTGGTGTAAAAGGCAATGTCTGCGATGCAGAGTCTACGGTTTCAATTAGTCCATAATTCCTGTGAAAAGTGGGTGGATCCCACAGCCTGCACAGTCCAAGAATTCATTGGGGTCGAACTGCTTGAAGGATTTTGTACATTGCTGCTTGGGATTGGGTTGGAAAGGCTTGACAGGTTTACGAATCTTCCACTCGAAGAGCTTTGACGGGGCATGATTGCTGCATTTGCCACGGATACCAGAAGCACAAGACAGAGGACGATTCCCATTCTAGGGGAGCCAAGATCCAGGGCCTGCACGATTTTTGAATGAATCAAAATGGATACGGACAGAAGGAGGCATCCTGAGATAATATAGGGTATCTGAAAGGATGGTAATGAGAAGTGCGAGCTCGGCGTATCTGAAGATGCTGTGTATGTATAGAATCGGAAGAATAAAGGAGAGAGACCCTGCACCTTCGATATACGATTGACACATGATTGGCTACAAATGGCATCGACGGAATCCGTGGTCTTCAGCCTCACTCATTATGCAGGCCACAATGCAACGCTTCTTGGGGAATCTGCACAAATGCAACGCAGTATCGAGAACAGTATAACATGAAATTATTACCTAGGCCAATCGATAAAATGGCATCAAAGAACGAAGGATCTGGTGAAACGAGCCGCGGCAAAGCATCGTGTTTGGTGGCCAGCTCATTGAGGCAGTGTCGCAACCACGAATTCTGGACTTCCTGCCATCTTGCGTGCAACTTGCAGATGAAACGCAGTTCAGCAACAGACAGCGAGAACGACCGAGGACCAATAAAGTAACAGAATCAGAAGGGTGTCGCCACAGGCACGGAAAAGATGGGAGGCATCCCAGGCGCGACGCTACAACCAGCTTGACAGCTAGCATCTCGCTTCTTGATCGCGCTTCTGACCTTCTCACACGTACAGAGGTCTGCACCGAAAGTCCTGCACCCGCACTAGTGCAGCCCTAACCCTACTTTCGGAAAGCGGCCCTGTAGAGGGGAAGCCTAGAAATATCTTCTCACAGCGCATGGATGGGACTTTAGGTACTTCTTTTGGCTTGATAGGGGCATTAAGCCCCGAAACCTGGCTAGGGCTAGGTGCGATTCCGAAGAACTCCAGACGCATTGTCCAGGTAGCCCTTTAGGTGGGGCGTTATCCGAAGTCTGAGCGCAAGAGTCTTGGCGGGTGCAGGACTTTCGGTGCAGACCTCTGTAGGTATGTTTAGGTCAATACAGAGACTGAGCGAGAGTCCGAGCGGAAGTCGAATATGTTGAAGGACGGTTATTTGCTCGCCTAACTCACTCGCTAAAGCGGCCACGGCCGCGCGAGTTGGTGCGAGGGGTGGGCTCTAGACATGCTTGGACCTCGCCGCGGCTCAGGCCTCCTATATCTTCAGCTGTCACCTGGCTTCAACCTGGCTCTTACCAAGAAATTCAGAGGACCGTTCGCGGTCTGATACGGAAAATGTTTCCGGACAATGCGTGGAGACCAAGCCGAAAGACACCAGACCCGTGGTGAAGCCGAGCGTCTCCTTTCCGGCGACTCGATGGAGATGGGGGATACGAGTCCTCAGCAGACGAGGGAGCACAAACACCCATCGCAGGTGGAAGAGAGATATACGGACGAGCAGAGCAATGGACAAGCTTCATCGTCGCGACTCACTGCTGCTGGTGAAGAGGAGGTTGCGCCAATAAATGGACGCCATACGGTATACAGGGTGTACAAGATCAGGTGGTTCGGGCTCTCTCAGCTGATCTTGCTTAACATCGTTGTGAGCTGGGACGTAAGACCACTGATCTCCAGTGCCCGCGGCCCGATCAGGACGCTTAATGGCTAATATCTACAACTCAGTGGCTCTCCTTCTCCGCCGTCGCCAACACCGCTGCAGACTTCTACTCTACAAACCCTAGCATCATAAATTGGCTTTCCACGGGATTCCTCTTCGCCTTCGTCGCCGCCGCTCCAGCTACTATCTGGACCCTCCATACCGGCGGCCCGCGGCTCGCAATCATCATAGCATCCATCCTCATTCTTCTGGGAAACTGGATACGCTATGCTGGCACACGGACCTCACCTCCCAGCTTCGGTCTTACGATGTTCGGTCAAATCCTCATCGGTCTGGCGCAACCCTTTGTCCTCTCAGCGCCCACTCGGTACTCAGACATCTGGTTCACACCCTCCGGCCGCGTCTCCGCTACCGCAGTCGCTTCCCTCGCAAACCCCTTCGGCGGCGCGCTAGGACAGCTCATCAACCCCTTTCTCGCAGCCAAAGCTTCCGATATACCAAATATGACCCTCTATGTCGCCATAATCTCGACCGTTGCCTCAATCCCTTCCTTCTTCATTCCCTCCAAACCACCCACGCCCGTCTCCCCCTCCTCCACGCACACCGCGCCTGGCATCCGCGAAACAGTAAACCTGCTGGGCAGAAACCCAACCTTTTACCTCATTTTACTGCCTTTCGCCGTCTATGTCGGCTTCTTTAATTCGATCTCCTCGCTCCTCACTCAAATCATGACGCCCTACGGCTTTTCGGAAACGGAGAGCGGCATTGCGGGCGCTGTACTCATACTAATTGGGCTGGTTAGCGCAGCTGTTACTTCGCCGATTATGGATCGCACGAAGGCTTATCTACCTTTCATTAAGACTTCGGTTCCGCTGATCGCGCTGTGCTATCTTGCTTTTATCTGGGCGCCTGGAACTCGCAGTCTGGTGGCTCCTTACATCATTCTCGCCATCCTGGGCGCTGCTTCTTTCTCCCTAGTTCCTGTGGCGTTGGAATGGTTGGTCGAAGTTACATGGCCTGTAGGTCCCGAAACCGGTTCTACAATCTGCTGGACTGGCGGCCAGTTGCTGGGTGGAATCTTTATTGTAATTAGCGATGTATTGAAAGAAGGGAGCGAGGGTAATCCGCCCTTTACGATGGGTAAGGCATTGATCTTTCAAGCGGTAGTGAGTGCGGCTGTCGTGCCTTGCGCGATGTGTTTGGGGCTGGTGGGCAAAGTCACACGAGGGAGATTGGAAGTCGACAAGGGCGTTGCGGCAGAAGACCGGGAGGGTTGAAGCTATCTGCATTTTCAGAGCGACAGGGAGAGGCGTGGGGACGGCCGGAACAAAAGGGCTAGGGAGGCGGACCAAACGGGGCCTGTGGGGTTCGCAATAATGCTCTTGGAGCTCTCAATTTTGGATCTGTGATGAGGACGTTTGGGAGGCGAGAATCCACGGTTTGGATAGTGGAACATGATACGTTCGAAGTCAATGCACCATCTTTTCGGACGTACTAATTGTTTGTGGGACGAGTGCTCAATTCGCGCCTTTCAGCCCGGTCAAAATCCATAAATCCTACCGACTGCCGACCCCCTATACCCATCTCGTCATCTTGCTACATTTACACGGAAGATACTCCTTAGCCGAGTCATCGATCAATAATCCTTGACGAACAGCCTTTTGGCCGGCTCGCCAACTTTTCAATTAACTTTCCAAGCATAGTCGGTCCTCCCACCCAAGATTTCTCACCATGCCAGCATTAAAGAAGCCTGTCTATAGTGGTTCACCATGCTTCAATGTCCGCGCGAGTACTTCCCAGATCGTAGGATCTGCATTGACTAAGGCCATGACCTTAGATTGAAAGCGTGAGAGCAGTTCTATTTTTGCGGTGTATCGTTTGGCAATGCCTGCATTTGATTCTTGTTCGCCAGGCGAGGTTTCGACGCTCTGCCTGAAGGCAACGCTCCTGTGTTGGCTCCAACGAACCGCATAACCCAGTCTTTGACATCCCCCACCTTGCGGACTTGCGGCTCGTGGATGGCGCCTTGCTCTAATTCCGGGGCGCAGTAAGCACCACGTGCATCATCCCCATCAACCACATTCCGGTAGAGCAGATCCAGCGTAGTCATCCCTCTCCGTAAGCTTTGACCGTAGACTTTACCCCTGAACGAGGTCAAAGCGACGGTCTTTGCCAGTACCACATCCTGGGGTCGTAGTCGCAAAGTCTGGGTTCGTAGCTCACCGTCTTGAAGTGCAGAATGATTGCTCTTCTGGGAAGGGGGAAGCCAGATGTTGACTCCGAAGCCAGCTTTCGTGTCATCGCCCACAAGCATCTCAACGAGCTCGATCGAACGTCCGCCTCTGCGTGTCCTAATATTTCGTGGTTGTGAGATGGTAATAATACCCACCACCAGGTTCACTGTCATCGTCTGCGGGGTTATCGACCGTAGATAGGCTGCATTGGGCATGTCTTTGAGGTCGCTGAGATGGCTCGATATTAGCCTTGAGCGTGTGAGTTGAATTTCTGGATGAGATTGGCTGCTGGCGGAAACAGCAGCGGAGAAGTCTTCTAGTTCCGTGGTAAAAGATTCGTCAAGGGATTCCGCGCCAACGATCTGAGAAGAAGGAATGTTTTCGTGAATCGCGAAGGAGTGCTCATAGTACTGGGTAAACACGTCTTCGTCGTCGGAGTCGGAGACCTGAGAACGCTCGCTTGGATATTCATCGGGGTCCGCTGAGATGAAGGAAAGCTCGGAGGTGGATAAGAACGAGGATTCATTGTTGATACAACCGAGCTCTTCGAAATGTAGATCTTCCCGACTCGTTTGCGTGAGACCTGTGGGTAGATGGGACTTCTCGAACGGCAAAAAGCGCCATGATGGTGCTTTATCATCAGTCGTTGATGTCGCAGTAGACTCGATGGGTACTTTTTCTAGAAAGCCTGGCATTAATGGAGCGCAAAGCTCTTCCTCCGTCCACCCGAGTGAGTTCGGTAAAGGTGCTCCCGTCAGAAAGATTACTCTCCCCCCAACGTCAAGCATGACAGACAAAGGACTCGAGCACGAGGAAGGGTAATTAGCAGGTACACAAAGAATAACTCTTTCCTCCCAGCACCATCTATGCGCTACGACAAGCTCGGTCAATTACTCGACAAGAATAAGGTGAGCAACCTTCCCATCACAAAATATTGGCGCTTGAAACATTATTTACTCCCTTGATGGGGATCTTACTATGTCTAAAATCGTGAGCTCCTTTAGTAAAAGGTTGAGTCTCTACTGCTCGTTCTTAACACTATAATAACACTCATCGCTTTCTTATCCTCCTACCACTTCGTGATCGGCGCGAAGAGCATCACATGTCTTACCAAACCTTCTGCTGCTACTCTCGGCTTTCGTGTCGAGTTTAGGCCTCCATGGCCCAATCAGATGCAAAATCATTCGTCTGACTTGTTTGCTTGAAGTAATATGTTTCCCAGCTCCTACAGATCCATCTGTAAGTATGACAGGTCGACATATCCGCAGATTTACTCAGCACCTCATGCCGACTTACTCGTCAATGACGGGTGGGCAAAGTAGCTGTCTCTCGTTGAATCAATGGAGGCGAGTGTAGAAGGGCGAGGACGTTAAAAGGGTCATTCAAGGAAGGGGAATATAGAAGTGTTCCTTCTGGGACTTTTACTGTATATCCTACATAGTGAACGTGGATCACTCAAAGAATTTTGCAAATTATTGTGACCATGGCATCTCTGTAGCCCTAGCCTCGCATCCCAAACGTCGATTTTGACCTCCATCCAACTTCACAACAACATCCCAACATCATTATCCCAATCATGCACGCAATACCCATATCCTTACCATGCACATTCCCCACCCTCACCACCACATCCCTTTCTTCCGCATCTGGTACTCTACAACCTTCACAGTCCTCTCCCTCGTCCTTGCCTCCCTCCTCCTCGTCACCCCGGGCGACCACATCTACGAATCTTTCACAAAGGGCGAGATCTTCCACATCTTCATCGTCGCGGGTCTCTACCTGCTTACATTCCTGATCGCAGTCTTCATCTACGCGGGCAGGCTGTATGCGGCGCGCAGTGCGCTGGCGGGTATACCAAAGGAGGTCAATTGGGGCGAGGATCCGGGAAGGGTGGGCCGCGAGATCCGGAAAGGGTTGGCTAGGAGTGCTGATGTATCTTACGAATCGCATCCGAGAGACCTGAGGGACGAGAAGGCGGCGCGGGGGCTGAGGAAGAAGGCGAGGTTGGGGAGGACGGCGGAGGGGAGGCAGAGTCCGGACACCGTGACCGGCTTCGAGCCCGCTTGGGGCGTCATCTCGCACCCGGGCTGGTCGTCGCCCTGCTCGCCGGATCTACCCAACTTACACTACGAACCGGTCGTCCGGGAGCTGTCGCATCTCATCGAGGCCAAGGCCGTCTCCCTCGCTCCCTCCGACCCTCTCTCCTCCTACGAGCCCGACCTCAACCTTGATGGAGAAGAAGAAGATGCAGAAGCGCCGATACCGGATCCGGTTGCCGTGGAGCTCTTACAGAGACCGGCTTCCATGGGCTTGCGCGACTACTTGTCCCATCTGGCTACGGTCGGTATGGTCGACCTGGAACCCCTGGCATCCGATTTCGTGGCTCGATACGAATACGCAAGATACTCCGGGGAAGAGCTTGATGAGGGGGACTTCAGAGCCTTGATGGGAGTCTTCGCGGAGATTCTACGGGGCATGAGACCGTTGGATGTGGGTATCGTGGACGAGGTGCGGGCGGAGATGGCGGAGGCGATGAGCGGCGAGAGTGAAGATGGCGATGGGGCTGGGTATCGAGATGCAGAGAGTATCAATACGACTGAGACGGTCCGACGCACACCGCAGCCGGAGACCTACTCCGCCTCTTCTTCTTCTTCTCCTTCTTCTTCTTCCTCCTTAGCTGGCTCTCGCAGTGGCAGTCAGGGCACCATCCACACAGCTCCTTCTCGGCCCGTGGCTACTAGGAACCCTTCGAGCAGGTCCCGTCGCTCCGCCAAGAACCGTTCCGTTCATCAACCCAGTCTGAGCTCGTTAAGGCGGGTGAGGACTGATACCTCGAGTAGTGGGTATTCAGCAAGGTCGAGGGCCGGGAGCGTGATAAGGCTGAAGGAGGCGAGCGGGCCTTTGGATTTGCCTTATGCTATTATCACGGGTGATGGGGAGGAATTATGAACGCTAAGTTCAGGGGCCCGATTTGTTTGATAGCGATTCAGCATGGCGTTTGGGAGGTTGGATACCCCTGCAGGTCTTGAGCGGGCAACAGCTCACAGCTGCTGTGAATTCTGAAAGCCAAAAAATATATGCATTTCGATATGACCCATCAAGGCTATCTACGGTTACCAGCTCGTGAGCCCCTTCGCGCGATCAAACCCACCTCTCAGCTGCCTCTCCGGCTTTACGACCTTGCCCTGCAAGACGGTGTATTTGATTATACCTTCACAGTCCTCCGGCCGCACTCTCGCAAGCCAGATGCACTGAGCTCCCTCTTCCTCCTCCCATCCCTTAGCTTTCTCCTCCTCCCCGGCTGTGTCCTCTTCTTTCTCTGTGCCAGTTTCCTGGCCACCGTCCTCTATTTCTCCGTTCACATTTCCGATTTCATCAGGAACCTCTCTTCTCTTACCGACTGCGTCCGCACGTCGGTAGATCATAACATTGGCCGAGAATTTGTGCCCTCCGACATGGCTAATGAAGTATATGCCGACCCCTCCTGGCCTCTCATCATGCATATCTCGATACAATCCCAAAGGCCGGAGGTGCCGTTCAAACTCTCGCTTTAGCAAGGGCGCAGATTGCCCGCATCGTGCGTCTCGAGTGCGTTGGGAGCACATTAGGATAAGGTATTTGTGGGGGCATGGGCGGGTTTGGAAGGGCGCTTCGCGGGAGCCTCGAGAAGGAAGGGTTGAGTGGTTCAGAGGCATGGATGTTGTAGGAGCGGGAGAAATGTGGTTGTTGATGAGCCGAGGCACTGTAGCGGGGGTGACGTTATCGATAAAGGTGAAGGCAGGGAGGAGGAGGACGGTTGTAGGACGGTGCTGTGGCGGGTAGGGCTCGTGGGAGGGAAGGGGCAAGTTGGAGGCGGAGAGCATCAGTTTCTGTTATACACAATGATAGTCAGCTAGACCCTCGAACAACAGTCAGGGAAAGGGGCGCACATACCCCGTTACTAGGCTCAACCTTACAATCCCTAACCGCTTCCATCACACTCCCCTTCTCATCACTCACATCCTTTACCCAATCCGTCTTCCCGGTGGCCACAAGCATGTGTGTAGCGAACCCATTTACGTGTCCGTATAACTTCTCTTCCTCGTCAATTTTGAATCCTTTCGGATATTGGACCTCGCATGTCTCGCAGTCGTGGTCGCAATCTTCACCATCGATCGCCGGGTCCACCTTAGGGAAGATGAAGGCCGTGACTTTGGGTATGGAGTCGGTGGAGGTACGGGGGGTGAGGAAGGCTTTCCCCTTTTGAAGGACGGAGGAGAGCGACATTTTCTTGATGGTATTCACGGTAGGTTGGGACTGACTGTTGAAGCCGGAAGAGCGAGGCATTTCAGGGCGGAAACCGGCGGGAGTGGCAGGCTACCGCGCGGAGGAATTGCGTGATGTCGCTTCCCTGGGGGAGCCATCTCGTTCTTATGTATTCGGCTGGCGCTCATTGTCTGATCCTAAGCAAATCCGTAGCCTTCTGGCGCAGACGTCGTTTTCTGCCTGATTGGCCTTATCAGATGGCGCTTTCGGGGCCGAATAATTATCAGATGGCGCCAAAAATGCCAAACCCTCCAATACTTCCCGGTCTCCGATCCTCAAGACCGAGCCCATCGGCCGAGAAATTTATCTCCTTTGTCTTTGGCACGGAAGTACCTACCAGTCAATAACATAGTACCCTCAGTGAGCTACTTTATGAAACTAAAAATCAGAATTTTCAGTGTCTAAGGTAGCACCCGGGTAGCCAAAAAGCCCGCACACCCTAACCCGCAAGTGGCTAGGAGAAGCGAGGCCATCCCGCATACATTTCACACACAAATTTAGTAGTCTTCTCTCATTATCAAGCACAATGTCGTCGCCCGAAAGGCTTCAGGCTGTAATAGACGGTAAGGGTCAAATGACTGGCTATTATATAGAGAATCATTCAATAATGTAGGTAATTCTGCTGGGGGAAGGCAGTCGTCTCCATTTGGTTAGGGTGTGCGGGCTTTTTTGCTACCCGGGTGGGTAGATACATACTCACGTACTCAATACTGTGAATTTTAATATCTTAATTAGTCAGCCGGTCTATCAATCTTCCGCTCCGAAGCCCACGCTCGTAATTTAAATTCGAATTTGGATGTTTATAGCGGCATGACATAAGGTTCCTTCCAGACGATAACTATACACACATCTGCCATATAACAACAAGCATGGCTCCTCAAAGTGTTCTTATGCTGTAAGTGCCAAGTCGACCAATCAAGAAGTGATTCACACAGTAACAGCATCCCAGCGGCTCTGGTTTCGTTACCAAGCCCACTTTGGATATTTTGAGCGACGCTGGCATTGAGGTCTCTGTTGGTGAGTCACTTGCGAGAGACACTTCTCATAACTTTCACTGACGTTCTCCAGCCTGCAGAAATATCGACAGCGCAAAGAAGCTCTCCGAGGGCGTCAAGCTCGCAAAGCCAATCTCCCTCGATGTCACCGACGACAAAACCCTCGACGCTGCGGTAGCACAACACGATCTTGTTATTAGCTTAATTCCATACAACTTCCATCCTACCGTCATCAAATCCGCGATCCGAAACAAGAAGAACGTTGTCACCACGAGTTATGTCTCCCCAGCCATGCTCGAGCTTGAACAACAGGCAAAGGATGCGGGAATCACCGTTTTAAACGAGATTGGTGTAGGTTATAAACATTTTACTTTTCTTTTGAAATACAAGGTTACTAATTGTTAGCTCGATCCCGGCATCGACCATTTATACGCAGTTTCCATGATCGAGAGCGTACATAAGGCAGGAGGGAAGATCATATCATTCTTGTCGTACTGTGGAGGACTCCCAGCTCCAGAAGGTATGAGGGCACAGATAAAGTACAAGCTTACTAAGGCTGATTTTCAGACTCTGGAAATCCATTAGGCTATAAGTCAGCAACCCTGCGTACCTTTATATTCTCCTGACTTGTCTGTCTTGATACCCAAAACCGTCTTGAAAAAGTAATGCTAATATCGCATTGGTCGAAGGTTCTCTTGGTCGTAAGTAACCTGCGCACCTTCATATTCTCTCTTCTGGCTTGTCTTAGCTGCATATGTCCTCCTTTCGATTGTCTGAGATGTAAAGCTGGGTGCTTTTCACGTGGACATGCACCTAAGATATTGCCCTGACACCTGAATCCCTCCTGAAAGTGTTCTACTGACACTGCAGGGCTGAAGATCCCGTGGGGTTCTGCTCGCTCTAAGAAACGCTGCAAGCTTTTACCAAGGAGGGAAGGTTGTCAACGTTGCTGGTCCAGGTAAGCAACTCTGCGCACCCTCCAATTCAACATTCTAGCCCGTACGCGCGTTTCGAATCCCACTCTAGGTTGTCTGGGCTGCGATGCCTAGCTTGGATTTTAAAATACCATATCTTACACCAATTTCTTCCCAAAAGAATAATGCTAACACCGCATGATAAAAGAATTAATGGCCACCGCCAAGCCATACCACATCTACCCAGGTAAGTTTGACAGACGCATCTCCCCTAATCATCTGTGGTATCCTGATATCCCGTCCTTACTGGCATCCAGGCTTCGCTTTCGTCGCATACCCCAACCGTGATTCAACCACATATAAGGAACGCTATAATATCCCAGAGGCGAAAACCATCATCCGTGGTGTGAGGCCACCTTTTATTTCCCCTTCTGGCCTGTGTAAAAAGCAGCAGATCCTTCCCAATAGAGTAATGCTAACACCGTAGGGTTACAGACTCTGAGATATCAAGGATTCCCAGAATTCGTCAAGGTTCTCGTCGATATTGGCTTCCTCAGTAACGAGGAGCAGAGCTTCTTGAAGGAGCCAATCACCTGGAAAGAGGCCACTCAGAAGATCCTTGGTGCTTCTTCATCAAGCGAGAAAGATCTCTTATGGGCAATTTCATCAAAAACGACCTTTAAAGACAACGATGAGAAGAACCAATTGATGACAGGTCTCAAGTGGGGTAAGCAACCCTGCGCACCTTCAAATTCCCATTCCTGGTCTTTCTCAGGTGGAGACATAGACTGTCTAAGCTGCAAAGCCACGCGGTGCAAGTGGACATGCACCTAAGACATCGTCTCAGCGCCCAAAACCTTCTTGAAAGAGCAATCCTGACACCGCGGCGTAGTTGGCATATTCTCCGATTCAAAGATTACCCCACAAGGAACTCCGCTGGATACTCTGTGCGCCACTCTTGAAGAAAAGATGCAATTCGAGGAGGGTGAGCGTGACTTAGTGGTAAGCATCGTCTCGGCACCCAAGACTTCCTTGAAAGAGTAGTGTTAATACCTAGGGTTCAAGCTGCTTCAACATAAATTCGAGATCGAGAACGAGGATGGTAGAAAGGAGACCAGAACTTCTACCCTCTGCGAGTACGGTGCTCCAATTGGAACTGGAGGCTACTCAGCAATGGCAAAATTAGTCGGCGTACCGTGCGGAGTTGGCAAGTTTCCCCCTTGTCTGATATCCCTTCTGGCACTGCAATGATTCTTCAGAGGGAAAGGTGCATTGCCACCTGAAGGGTCGCCTTTGACCACTGGGGATCTCAAACTGTGTCTCAAGACCCACTCACTTCTGAAAACAGGAGTTGCTAACGTTTGTGTCACACAGCCGTCAAACAGGTACTTAATGGCACGATCTCCGATAAGGGTATTCTCGCGCCAATGAACTCCAAGATCAACGATCCATTGATGAAGGAGTTGAAGGAGAAGTACGGGTAAGTTTTCTTCATCTCAATCTCTTGGAAGTTCATATGCTTACGGAGCTTATAGTATCGAGTGTAAGGAGAAGATTATCCCATAAAGCAGTAGGATTTAGACCAAATCGTAGGTTACGGACCAAAACATTGGACATAGACCAGATCAAAAGCGATCCATACAATCATGTCAATTCTGCTAGCGTATCTCCATCTCGATTGCAGTCGACTCGCCTGAAGACGCTTCTGCCTGGAGTTGCTATGTTACGTGAAATT